TAAGACATTAAAAAAAAAAAAAAAGCTAACTGTTAGTAAAACGTAACTAAAATGTCACTTACCTTCTTTCAGATATGTCCAGTTATTATGAGTGTAAAATATTTAATGCTACTTGATAAATTTCATAAAATTAATTTTATTCTCAAAATATTAATGATTATGTTAATTAAGTTATGTTTAATAATAATGCATCCTACTCACGTTCAGGCATAGATATAATATTTTGAGTTGAATTTATTCAGTTCCCATTTCCTCATAGGTCCTTAATTTTTTTCATTAATGGTCCTTAAAAGTCCTTAATTTCCTTGTGCAGAAATGTGTACGAACCCTGAATGAAGTACCAGTAACTAAGTGCTGTATATAATAAACTCAAAATTCCTACATATATATTTATGACAATATTAACAAGAAGCATATGTATTTTGTCATATATGCTTAGAAATTACAATAAAAGCCCAACTACCCGCATTCCACTAACCGAAATATATTTTTAAAAAATTTTAAAAAAACTAAGCAAATGAAACTTCTACAGACATCATAAAGCGCAAATAGGACTGTGAAACAGATAAAAAAGTATCGCCTTTCATATTTGCAGAAAATGATCAAAATCTGAGACCTTCCCTAAACGGAACAGCATATAGTGAGGCATTTTCGAAATTACAGATTCCAACCATCAAGAAAAGGGCGTTCATGTGTTCCCGATATGCGACTTTATTTGAAAATAAATAAACAATGGCAATATAACTTGAAAAAATCTAATGTGTAGACCACATGACTTCCTTGTACGGAATATTAAATTGTACGCAGTTTTCCTGCATTTAATTTAAACATATTGAATTAACTGTTAACGAATTTTGAATTAAATCTACTTCGTGGATAGCGTATAAACCACAGTAGAATAAATGCACTCTTTAAAGCTCACTATATTTATTTACTATAGCGACACTTCGGCCCTAGGTTCACTTAACTTTACAGCTCATTCATTTTATAACTCAGACTGCACAAAAATTATATCATCTGAAGAATTACCACAAGTTCCATTCAAATAGTATAATGGTTAGAGTAGATTAAAGGGTGCCCCTTGTATTATCGCGAAGTTGTTGTTTCATTTATAGCCCAGTTGTTGTTTCATTTATAGCCCAGTTGTTGTTTCATTTATAGCCCAGTTGTTGTTTCATTTATAGCCCAGTTCTTGTTTCATTTATGGCAACCTGGGTAGCTGGATGTTATGGAAACCCTATTATGACGTAATAGGTTGCGTGATTGTGGTAAATTTTGAATTACAGGATAAGATTTGTAAGGGCTTGTGGTGTGTGTTGGTTAGGAAGTACATTGTTTGTTTTATGGGTTAGACGGTAGAATGGCTGAATGTGGTAAGATTAATTTGAAGTTTCTGCACGATTTGGAAAGAAAAGAGAAAAGGGCATTAATTGACTGGTGTGTAAATGAAGGTTAAGCTAGTAGCCATTATTAAGTGTCCTGTTTGTAGGAAGGAAATGGCGTATGGTCGAACGTCGGACGATACCGGGGCTACGGAGGATATTTTTTACTCTCATTTTTGTGAATTTATGTGGCAACGCCAGTATACAGATTCTAGTTCAGATAATTTTAGAAAGTTTTTGTATGCTGTTAAGGAATTTTGCTTGACTAAAGACACGTTAATTCGTAAATAAGGTAAGTGGATATTTCCTTTGTGTAGTGCAAAGAGTGTGTAGTGTTATCTCATTGTTTGATTTAAAATGTAGTTTTCTGAGATTATATATTTTTTGTTGGCTGCTCCTTTGACTTTTTAAGTGAATATAGATTGATGTGTACATGGACAAAGTCAAGGGAGTGCGCAATGCCTAGTTTGTGCAATTCTCTGATTTTTTTTTTAAAGTGAAAATAGGTCAATGTGTGTCAAAATATCTATATTAGAACAATGTTATTTATAAATCTAATAAATATCCTAAGTCGCGCTTTCTAGACATGAAAAACGAAATTTGTATTACGTCAATCGACCCAGTAGAACGGGAGACATAAAACTGCTCTCACCCCAATTTTTTTTTGGGGGGGGGGCAATGTACCTTTTAGTTTTGCTTCAGTTATTAAGCGGCATATTGACAGCAGTGAAGATTTTGAAGCTGCCTTTAAAAAATGACTGTTGCAAAGTTTCTATGTCGAAAATGTAGTCGTTAGAGTTGACACTAAAAAACAGTTAGAAAAGTTTATTTTCAATTAAGATATTAATGTCCAAAGGCGGCCTTTGACTTAAGGGGGTGAGGATATTCTGGTGATTTCGATGACTATATTCACTGCACTCTTATTTTCCATGTTGAATTTTCTAGTCCGATTAAATACGGAGCTCTGCGCACGATCTTGCTCACCACATACAGCTACTAGTCGCCCATGAATTTGTGCTGTTTTCTCAAACCGTGCAGTCCGCTTTTAAAACTGTGTGTATCTTCCTTCCTTGTCCTTACTTGTCTATGGTCTTCTGCACTGCACTTCATGTTATTACTCCCTACGGCTTTCGTTCTAAAATTAAGCGATTCGTTTTACTGCAAAATGTTGAACTCACACTTCCCTGAAACATTACTACGACGGACAGCCATTTATTATACTGGAACAGTAGAACGAGTGCAGAGCGTTATCGAACGTACTAAACATTAGCTCTAAAAAACTGCAAGACCACCTTGGCAGTAATACGAGGACACCAAAGCAGAATTTGTTTTTAAAAGGAAGGAGGAAGAGAGCACAAATGTCCCAAGACTACCGCAACTATCGAGGGTCTTCTGTGGCGTAGAAATTAGGTTGAGTGCACATTTTTTAAAGGGAAAATTTGTTTAATTAGGAATAAGAAGAAACCGAGTGGCATTTTCATAAATTGAGAATACCAAAGTGACTAGTAATATCTTTCACACTTCAGAGCTATGCTGAAGAAGATGATCGTTTTAAAATGGTGCAAAATAGCGTCAGTTTAGAGATCTTTTATACTACGGCTGTAGACAACTTCTCGAACATCCCCCCCCCCGGAAAAAAAAAAGCAAAAGCCGATATGCAAAGAAGTCAAGAAGAGCTGAGATTTTTTCTAGCCGTGATGGACGTCTGGGACGATTTAGTCTAAACTGAGTTAAGGAAACTCTGAGACTTGTACATAGATAGTGTATGTAAATATTTTTACAGCTAATAATTAGTAAATTCTTAATATTTCGAACATTAACGGTGTTTTTAACAATCTGAAAATTTTTATGAGGCTATACGATTTGGACAGTACTCAGGAATGGATTAAAATTATTCCCATGTACAAATATAAAGATATCCACTTAGGCTGAAAGTCAGAGCTTTTGCGTATTGCAGAAGCAGTACACTTATTTTGAATTTGTGATGCAAATAAGTGGGCCTTTAGTTTATCTTTTAAATTGAAAGATAAGTATTGAGATTAATAAATTTACAGCTACTCGGTGTTTAATTTGTTCGTAATTTCTCATTTCTGCTTTAAACATAGCTCGTTGTGGCACTTTATGTATATAATAATAGTCACCGAGTCCAAATCACTGCACCAGAGAAGAAACAATATTTCAAACAATAGTACAAATATCGTATGGTTTTATTACTTTGCCCAGTCTGCTATACTGATTAGTTCGATTAGGTATTTTTACTTGTTGCTTACTCCGTACATTTCATATGTAAACTGAAAATCAGTATAAACTTCTATAAATTATGGAAAAATAGCTAAAAATAGCGGAAGACAGCTGGTATAATATGCAGCTATTATTAATGCATAGTATATATCTCATTGGTTCGGTCTACCGAACTATTATAAAATTCTGCTTTGAGTTTAAAATATTGGCTTGAGAATATGTATATTAAAGCCATAAGATTTGAAGCTGTTTTTTATTGAATTAAAATTTAGAAGTTTATTTTTTAAAGTTCTGAGATCATAGTCTTTTTATGTTAATTAGTATAATTGTCTTATTATTTTTGGATGTATTTTCGCATTTGCTTTTGTCAACTTTCACCAAAATGCAAACCATTAAAAGGTGTAAATAAGCGCTGAGTTCTTGAATTTGAAGAGAGAGATGTCGTGGAAGCATAGGTTGATCGTCGTAGTGGAGTTTTGCTTTTGCTATGCTTTTCAATCTGCATAATCATCAGATTGACGTGTAATGAATTAATTTTATTTTAGACCGTTACTTTTTAGCTATGATATCTTTAGGTAGAAAGCAGACGGGACTATACATTATGTGACAGTCTTAATGGTTCTATTTGAGTTATTCTGGAACTTTGAAATACTTAAGAATTGTGTACTGTGGTCTTCATATGAGAGAAACCAATAGCAATTGTTGCGTGCGTGCGGGTTTCTAATAGATAGGTTCCTAATCCGATAATAGGGTAATAAAATTCATTCTTATCAAAAGAAATATATCAGAACTCTGGAATTTTCCTTAGAGATATTCGTACAAGTGTTTACAATAAACTATTAAAAACGTTAAATAGAGCGCAATGCAAAGCGCATCTAAAGAGAAATCTAATCCGATCTCCCGCTGAATTGCAACAATAACAATAGCAGCTAACTAAACAACCTGAGAGCAAATGTTCTCTCTTTAGCCTTAAATAGTTTTCGACAAGCCGCGAGATGTTTCTAGTACTTTCTGCTTCTCGAAATTACTGGAAAGTAATACTAGGATGAAATTACGGTTACAGCTAGCATAGTGGATTTAGCATAGCATTTATTCAATTTCAATACAAATTACGGAGATACCCATTTACTCAATATTAAATGCGCGTGCCCCTGTATTCCTAATTTTGCGGCTCAGCTTTCTCTTAAAATTTGTCTCGAGGTACATTACACAGAAAAATACAGCAATTTTAATCATAATTCTACTAAAATTACCTATTTAAATACAAAATTCGTAACATTATCACGCTGGTTGTGTGTATGCAGTATTCAATTTATGCTGGTATTGTGTACGATGCTCTTCATATGAGAGAAAACAATAAATAATAATTAACATAAATTTTTACACAAATAACGTTTATTTACAAAATTATTTATTTTTCAGTCCACTTCCTTGATGCACGTGGTTGTGGCACTGATAATCCACATTCTGCACTTCTTATTTCTTCCTAAAAATAGATATAATTATTAGCAATTAGCAAATGAATTAATAACTTTAAAGATATATGATGTTTTACAGCTAATGGGAAATTAAGCGTGAAAATAATTTGATATTTTATATTTAGAATCTTCCTCAGTTTCTCAAATAAAAAGAGGTTAAGTAAAATCCAAGAGGCGGGTACGCTTCTGATGAGCCTTGACAACAGTTTTTGTTTCCAAACTGATAATATTTTGGGTTTCTTGCCAATTTTGCGAGTTTTGTTTATTTGGGAACAAACATTTTTGTGTCTCTACGACCGATTATTTTCGAAACTTTCACAAGTCCATACTATATTATATAAAGAGGTGTCCCAGAATTAGACAACAGTTCTTATTCAGCCGTTTGAAATTTAGCGGTTGAAAGAAAATTAGCAGAATTTCGATTTAGAGTCTACTTTGAGAGTGATTTTTGAGAGCTTACGATATTTTGTCTTGCTCTAAGAAGAAACTATTTAATATCCGCGTTCTGATTGAGCTATTTATAGCTATTTATTGGGCTGCAAATCAGAAATGTTTATAATTAATTACCACTTTGTTACTAGTATTTTGCTGCAGGAGTTGTTTAAAAAGACATGAACGAACCGGTAGGGAGCAACAGTAGGGTGTAAAACCTTCATTCGATAGCCTTTTTCTGATTCAAGATTACTTTGGAGACAATGCACACCCGTGTAAAAGTTTCAGTCTTAGTCTTACGTGCCTATGTATTCGCCGGTGAGGTTTCATAACGGGCCAGCTCATTAGTTATTTTCGTGCAGCTTCAGTTAGAAACCCAAGTGGAGGCTTTCCTGTAAGCCCGAGGGGCGGTCTGTAGTATTTCTTTGAGTGAATAAGATGGTATTTTAATCCTTCTTTGGACTCATATTTTATAGTTTCAATAAGACCAGCGATTAGTCGCTAGACACTTTCAAAAATTCTAGTAACCAAAGACACGTAAATTAACTAGAACTTTATAAACGAATGAATTAGATAAATTTATTATTATTATTATTTTAAAAATTTGTTTTATTTTTCCTTCTGACTTACCATTTCGAGAAAGGATGCTTCATTTTCAACAATTAGTGTTGTTGCTAATCTTTCGGATCGTAGAGCATATTCCAGATCAGTAGCATGGACTTAATCGCAGACAAGAGGAAAAGTTAGAGCTTATCATTGACCAAGACCTTGATCACATAAGAGATAGTATGAGTTTTCTCAACTCCTTTCCAATTTTGATGGAGGACACTAAGAGGATAAGTGTCTTTTACACATCTTTTCCTAACAGCAACCACTCCAGGAAGCCCTCGACTCGACAGTATTTGAAGTGCTCCTATAGTGCAAAGACACTATACATTTAGAAACACCTATGCCCTCTACGGTATTCGAACTGAGCCTCAATGGTATGAGAGCTGACATAGCTAATTTCCAATCTTTTATTGCATCGACCCTTTTTAAAGGAAAAGATTTTCTTCGTCGACCCCCTTTATTTTTTCAATAATGTACAGTATATAACATAGTCATAATAAAAGTAATAGCCGAGAAGTATCTTAAAGGATTAGACTAACAATATTAACCGAAGTCTTGAAAAAAAAAATGATTTATTAGGTTAATGTTTTATTATCTTTTGGATAATTACTATTTTTTAATTTTACAAATATAAATACGTTTTCAGAAACAGAATCACAAATCCTAATTGCACAGAAGTTGGATTGTAATTAATGTGATGACTGTACTTGATGTATTGATGCAGTTCCTTTAATATTTGGCATAATATTACTTCTGAAATAATTTAATTTTTAAATACCCTCATTCAAAAATATTTAACCTGTTTCTTATTTTCCATTCTAGTTTTGTGTTCTTCGTATATTTTTTAATTGTTTTCTTATTTTCTTGCGTTTTACTTTTTTATATTGTATTTGATGTATAAAAAATTATTTATTTAGAAAAATATATTATTAGTTTTTAGAATGTATTAAATAATTTAGTTGATTTTTCCCAAATGTTTATTTTATATAATTTATTTCTTGCCATACGATACAGCTTTATATCAGTAGAAAATTAATAGTCAATTTCTTTTTACATTTTTTGACGTTTCAAATTTTTTTGGTGATCAGTAGGACCTTTATTATACTCGTGCATATTCGTTATAGACCCACTGATTAACAATGACCCCCATTAAAGTTACTTTGACCACCAGGTGATCAATACGAACCCCAATGGGGAACCGATCAAAACAGCTCAGTGGTTGGCTCATTGATTAAATGATTAAAGCAGATAAAGGTTATCTGCCATCACAGGGATGAATTCGTAGAGGATTTCCAAGGGAAATCTGCTCATATTCACGTTAAGCACTTGAAAACTATGAAAACTCTTACGCAGCCAGATCGTTCATCGGGGGGGGGGGAACTATCTATTTATAGAAGTTCCAGCCCCGCCGTTTGGCTATAGGCGCTTTTGGCCTTCTTCATTTTAATTGATCTTGGATATTATTATTTGTATTTCCCAAGTAGCGAATAAATACTTCGTTTTTATAAGATACTTGCATGTTTGATTTTTGAATTAAGCAATTTTCAGATTATTATACATTTCTGATCTCGTAATATCATACTGTTTATACATACATGTATGGCTAGATATCCCAGGGGAGATTATTATATAGTTCTTCGTTTTATCTTTTTCTGATCCCGTAATATCATATTCGTTTTTCTAGACTTTTGATTTAAGCATATCTTTGCTATAAATTACTACTATTCGTTTATATTATCCGTCTAATAATATATATTATTATTTGAGGGACATAATTTAACGCAAGTTCATTAATTTCGAATTTGTTAAATTAAAGAAAGGTTGATTAGTCAGAGAAAAAATGAAAATTATACCAGGGAAAAAAAAAAGAATAGACGCTACTCGAAGTAATGAGATCATTTTCACTGAAACTTTGTTTCATGTTCGAACAGAGTATTAATAAGAGTAAATCCTAATAAAATAATAATATTATTGTATTTTCATAGGACAGAAAATGAATATATCAAACAATTTTTACACAGTCTTGGACGCTTGGCAAATAGTAACGCCTCCTTCATCGCAACGTATAGTTTTCCATTTCCCAGTTGAAGGAGAGAAGGCAGCACAGTCAGTGTCTGGCAGCCATGTGCCAGGTTCACGGACATCCCAATTGGTATAATCGACAGGTGTACCATCTAACCATATGAAGGATTCTATAAAAAGATATTTATTTATGTAAGACTGTTGCAGAAATAGGAAAGTGAATTATTGAAATAGTAAATTGAAAATATTCTTCAAGTTCATTAATGAGGTACGAGCAGTATATCCGTTCTTCTCCAGAGAGAGGAAGGAGAGAAAGGAAACTTTTTCCTTATAAAACCCAAACTATCGAAAATTTATACAAGTATACAGCTATTTGGTATTTCTTTGCAGCCAGAAAACACAATGCCTTCACAAGGATTTTAACTCCGAACATTCGTACTGCTAGCCGGCCGTACTGCTAATTACAATACGAAGGCACACAGTAAAGGAGAGAAAAAATTCTTTGCAATCTTCTCCATTTAATAGGGCGACTGGGAAGGAAGAAGACCAGTTGCCAAATCCTTATGGTGGCGAACTATCATTCACCATATTTTAGTGGGTCGCTATTTAAAGCTATTACAGCTGTTTAGAATTTTTTTTTTGAAGCCTAAAAACAGGAAGAATTAGCGATGCCTTCACCGGAATTGCAACTTCGGATATTCCGATTGATACTCGTGCGTGCTGCCAATTACACCAAGAAAGTGCGCAATAAGAAGAGTATTTTTTTTAATTTAAAAATTTTTAATTTTTAATTTAAAAAAAAGCGATGTTATGGCACACATCGAATGCATTCTTTTTTAAATGAATTTGATAGATGGTGAATCTTGTGATTAAAAAATTAAAGTACCAATGGAAATTCTTATTTGTCATCAGTATAAAAAGAAATTAAAATTTTAGAACTGAGATTTTAATATAAATAAAAATTTTATATTGCTCCTATAGTAATTTTTGCAACCCCGTTTTCGTTCATAACTTAATGAGATACATGTATTAAAACGACAAAAGAGTAATAAGCCAAATTTTACAGTCATTAATTCTAAGTACAAATTTATGTTACTTCTGTTAAGATTGATGTACACATTAAATCGGGAGTAAAGAATACAAAAAAATATTATATTAGCAAAAATAAACGAACACCTAAAGCAAAAGAAATAAAGTGAGCAATAAAGAGAAAACAGTACTCAAGTAAAATGTCTTCAATGGTTCAGATTTTAACTATGACCCAAAAGGATTTGTTAAAGTTTCTTAAACTCTCGCTGAGCTTGCAGTCTACCAGTCTGCTCTTGTGCTCATTCTTGCTAACCCATTTCTTTTCGTCTTTTTAGCTTTACTATTAAGCATAATTTTATTCGATTTTACGCCATATACAGTTCAACGGAAAAAATTACAAAAATTTTGAAAGCAGCGTAGTTTTAAAATTTCCAATGCAGTGATAAGTGTTGGCATACATGTTTCTAATTTTTTTCAATCTTTTCTCAGTTTATCATATCAGGGACAGTTTTCTTGGTAAGATGGCTTAAAAAACTTTTTTTTTTTTTTTTTTTTTTTGTCTTTTATTATTAACTTTTTTGTATTAACTTTATTCATTAAATATCATTTTCTTCACACTTACGCTATACAGAATTCAGTTCAACAGCAAAATCACAAATTATTTAAAATCAGCATATGTTTAGAATTTCCGATATAGAGTTCTCGTGCGCTGGGGATAGAAATGTTTTATTCCGTGCATTGTTGCTACTGCTTACTTTCATATCGTTGAGTTTCTTAACCAAAAATTCATTAAGGTTTTACAAAACATGAAATTTATGCAAAATTCGAAATTCAAAATTTGGGCTTCCAGGTGCATATGTTCGGTTGGAGCACTACGTTATTCAAAATTTGATGGCTTTTAGATGCCGTCATTTTTCAGTGCGAAGAAGATACATAAATACATGCATATTCTTTATTATTTAATTATTATTATTGATTAAAAATATTATTAAGTAGATATTTAGATAACTAAGATATTATTAACTAGATATTTAGATAGGGCTATAGTACTTGGTGGCAACAATTTGAAAAGTGGAATTTGAAATTTGGAATTTGTTTTATTATCGATTTTATATTTTGTAAAACTTTAACGAATCTTTGATTAACAAGCTCAACGATTTAAAAGAGATCAATAGCAACACTTTACGGGGGGGAAAAAAAACCTTTTTATCTCCAGCGCGCGGAACTGTGTATCGGAAATTCTAAAGATATGCTCATTTTAAAATTATTTTGCGATATTGCTGTTGAACTGAAATTTATGTTTTAAGTGCGAAGAACATGAGATTTAATAAACAAAGGTAACACACAAAACGTTGAAAAAACGCCGCTTTAGACGTAATTTAAAATCTGAAACCTTTCAATTTTTTTTATTTTTTATAATGACCGGGCGCTTTATTTAATAGCCATTAACTTTGCACCACTGAAAAGATCGGAAGTGGTGGCTATTCCAGTATGGAAGCACATAACAGGTGGCCGCCGCTGCCTTCTATGAAGGGAAGGATTGTTACAACCATGCCTTCTCCGGGATTCGAACCCGGGCCCATCGTTACGGAAGCTAGGGTTAGTAACCACTAACCAGGCGAGGCGGTATGCATGTTATTGTAAAAGTCTGTTCTTTACTGCACCTTTCAGCTACAATATCTCTTAACAATTCGATTTTCATGAAGTTTGAAAGCTTGGAAGGAAATTACTAGAACGAATCATCATCTTTCCGGATAATTTTATTTCATAACTAGATTTTTGGCAAAGTTTGCAACAAAGCAGGTTGGTCCATTGCAGAAGAATTTTTCATTAATTTTGTTCAGGTATTCACTTACGGTTTCAACTTTGAGATCACAATGAATGGAATTGTTCCGAATGCAGGCAGGTGTCCCGGTGATGGTTCTCAGGAATTTATTTTGGATAGCTTGTAGTCTAATATCTTTCCTGTTGGCATGTGTGTATACAAGCGAGGCGTACCTGGAGATTGGCCTAATGATGGAACCGTAGATTTTCCTTTTCCTCGTCAGGTTTATGCCAGAAGTACTTGAGAAGATCTGGCCAACCTTGAACATTGAGGATCGTGTCTTTCATTTGCTTAATATGATTTTCCAAGTTGAAGGAGCTATTTAGGGTAACTGAAGTATTTCGCTATGGAGACAATAGGAACTTGAAAGCCGAACATTTTGACATGATTTGTGATTTTTTCAAGTTTCTTATAAGTAAAATTTTCAGATTTATAGAGACTGATTTTGGTGTTTCACTTGCAGCAACAATTTTGCATTACCGATATCTTGTTTTGCAGTCTCTTGATAGCATGATTTTGTTTTCTGGATTTTAGAAGAACTGCCGTGTCGTCGGCATAGGATGTTGTTGTCTTCAATCACCAAAGTGAATCGAGAATCGGAGAATCACCAAAGTGATGGGCAAACTACGGCCCGCCGGAAGGTTCTACCCGGCCCGCAGATAGAATTTTAATTTGTCGGTCCGAGGCAAATTAAAAGAAATATATATTATATATCCATCTTCTTTTCTACTTTGTTTAAATATAATTTTTTTTCCTTCCTTTTTTTTCGAAGGACTGATGATCTTTTTACTTTCTCTATTTTTGTTCTACAAAACATAAATCGACGGAAATAGCAAACACAGACAGCTTTCAATCGGTAAAGTGTTAAAAGCGGAAGTTCCTTCTTAGTTATAGCTGTAGATTGGCGCCAACAAACGTTATCTCTTTCTCGGGGAGCATACATATGGGAATCCAATATAAGTGAATTAGACCTCGCATGTGGCGAACTGCGCATTTTTTTTTTTTTTTTAAGTTCCAGCCAGCGGCCTTTTCTTTTGGTGCGAGTTCTAATATTATTGATTGTGTATGGAAAAATTGCGACATATAGCATCATTGTGAATAGATGTAAAATGATTAAAAGTATAGTGTAGGTAGTGCTTGTTTAGGTTATTCATAAAATATTTCAACCGCAAAATGGCTACTAAAATGTAAAATTGATTCAGAGTGCTTTACTTTTAATGATGAATGGACCCAGAAATATTTTTTACAGTTGCAAAAAATAAACCAGTGTGTCTCATCTGCAATGAAGCTGTAGAGTCTTTAAAGAATATAACATTTCTTGTCATTTCATATCTAAGCATAAGAATTCCAATTAAGAAGCAACGTCCATGAAAGAAAACAAAATGTAGAAAGTCTTTGTAAAAAATTATCAGGCCGACAGAATTTTTTCAAGAAAGTAAACAGTATCCAAGAAGCAGCTGCATATGCAAGTTACATTGTAGCATACAATATTGCTAAAAATAAATAAAGCTCTCAGTAATGGGACAGTTCGTTTAACAATGCATGCTCCAAATTTGTGATGTTTTATGTCCAGACAAGAAAAACAATTTTGAGAGCTTATCTCGAAAAAACAGTGACCTTCTAGAATCGAAGACAACGATAAAAATTTGACATCACAATTAGCGTCAAAGATTGGTCAGTTTAAATTTTGTTCCATAGCTATGGGTGAAAGCACTGATATAAATGATACTGCTCAATTAGTATTATTTACAAGAGCTGTTGATGATAATTTTGAAATTACCGAGGAACTGGCGTGCATGTATTCTTTAAAGGAAACTACAATGAGATGTGATATTTTTCGTGAATTTCAGGAAAGGCTTTTAACTTTGAAAGTGCCTATAACAAATATATGAAATAATACGACCGATGGAGCACCAAATATGACAAGAAAAAAAATCTGGATTTCTTGGACTCTTTAATCAAAACTTTTAATCTCGTGAACAATGTTATTTTTCTACATTGTGTTATACATCAAGATACTCTGTGTAAATCTGCATTGAATATGAAACCAGTGCTTGATGCAGTCATGAAGCATTTAAATACTATTCGATCTCGTGGGCTTACTCACAGACAATTTCGAGATTTTCTTCAGTCCGTGCAATCTGAATACTCTGATGTACTGTATTACACGAAAGTAAGGTGGCATTATGCAGGATGTGTTTTCGACCGAGTTTGACAGCCGAAAGAGGACATTGTGTCGTTCTTCCATGAGACATAGTGTTCTACGGAGCGCGAAATGTTAGAAGATACAGAATGGCTTTCGGACTTCGCATTTTTCACAGATCTTCTTTGTCATATAAGCAACCTGAATGTCAAGATGCAAGGGAAAATTCAATTTATCGACGATATCTGGGTTCATTTCGAATCTTTTAAACTAAAACACAATCTGTTTGCTGGGCATCTAGCTATGAAAGACTTGTCTCATTTCCCGAGGTTAAATTCAATACCCTCAGTAAATGAAGAGAAGAATTAGGAAGATGGCTTTAAAAAACTGCATTTTGTGTTCGTATGCAGATTTCAAGATTTCAGTGCCATTCAAACAGAATTGAATATTTTTACCATGCCTTGCAACGCAAACTGTGAAGCAATGAGGTCAGATCTGTAGGTTTAACTAATTGAGTTGCAGTCTAACAATCATCTCAAGCAGGTATTTCTAAATATGCCAAAGTTAGAGTTTTACAAATGATTATCGAAAGTAAGTTTCCCAAATTTAATATCTCATTCCCAGAAAATCAGTGCTATGCTTGCTTCAACTTATATATGTGAACAAGTGTTTTCAACTATGAAACTTAGGAAGAATTATTTCAGAAGTAGACTGACAGATGAGCATTTAGCCTCGTATTTTAGAATCAGTACATCTCACTTCGAACCCTAATATAAGGAACTTTTAAAATTAATATCGTAATTTCATTCATCTCATTAACATATTTAAACTGGAATACTTGTATATAGTTTTTAAAATTTTAGAAAAATTTATCTTGGCCCGCCAAACTTTTTTTTTTTTTTTTTTTTCGATTTTAGCCCCGCGACCGGAAACGTTTGCCCATCCCTGACCTATGCTGAATTGAGATTCATGTATGAACAGAACTGCCCCATAGCTGTATTTGGTTGAAAGCTGATGATCCGTGCTAACGAGCTCTCTTTTACATAGAAGGGACCAGGACATAAACAGTGGGTCTTCTTGGAAACAAATGGAGATCTCAAATCCGTATATTTGCCTTTTCAGAGATGTAGTCAGTAGATTTCAGTGTATTCTTCCTTCTATTGATGGACTTAACAGAATGATTTGGAAATATTCCGCAGTGTTCAAAAAACGTACGAGTTTCTTTAATTTCATGCCTAGTGTTCTAATTAAACTGAAAATCAAAGAGAATTTAAACAAATGAGCATGCAAATATGACATACAGGGTGGAAAGAGAATGCTACATATGTATATGCGTGTTAAGATTAAATAAATTTTAAATCCTCACGTTTGTTTAGAATTGATTATTTGTTATTCTTACAGAACATCAAGACAAAATTAAAATGAAACAAAAAGAGAAGCCTTACTCTTATCAAAAGATTTAAAAAGCCCTAAGAGTATTCTACGAAATTCTTTCCACAGATACGCAATTAAAGATTTTGTTTGGTGATCAGAAGACACTTGTAACATTTTCATGCCTGAAAGATAAATAAATATTTCAGAAAATCTTATATAGGGTACTTACTTACAAATTAAACTTGAATGAAAATAAATTTATGTTACATTAAGTTAAATATAATTGCAAGATCTGAGTCTAACCCTTCGAAGAACTTACCACTAACATTTTAGAAACTGAAAGAGAATATTTAAAAAGTTGATAAAAGTAAAAAAAATCACATGATTATAAAGAAGCTGCAATCATCATAATATTTTGATTTCACCATGCTACTAAAACAATTTTTAGCTAGACTCTCACAAAAAGCCTACTAGTTTAAGATTAGTTAGGCAGAAAAGAAAAAGATACAGAATATGAGATTTTGTATTTGATAAGAACTGTTCTAAACAGATGCGAGATAATAGGAAACTACTTAAGAGCATTTTATTTGATATTGTTATGAATGAGCCAGAAGTTAGAAAAAAAATCATTTAACATAATATTTCATCATCAATTAATGCCACTTGAAATTTGTGCATTTTCACTTCCTTGTACGAAGTAAAGGAAGTAATGTAATCACAAAAAATTCCGGATATTTCAACGAAAATATACATTTTGACCGCTATCTAATGCAATTTAACAATGTTTTTGTGTGATTATCTGCACGTAAGGAGAGAATAAAGGGCTCTTTTTCCCCAAACAGATTATAAAACTGATTTAAAATGGATTCAGGAGAGATTTTTTCGCGGCATCTGTACTTACATACGTACGTATGTATGTATCTCGCATAACTCAAAAAGGAATAGCCTCAGGACGTTCAAATTTTGTATGTGGAAGTGCTATAAGATGTAGATGTCCATCTAACCCTTTTGGTTGCAATCGACCGCACATAAAGTATATATATATGTAAGATAAAAATATATGAATCAGAATTATAATATAACTATAAACATTAATTCTTCCTCTTTATTCTAAAATCGTAATAACTTCTCTGCATTGCGTCATTTCTAGATCACTCTATGGCCCCGCGCAACTCTGATGACGTAATAATTAAGAACTGAAACTGACCTTGGTAACCAAAACTTTCTCTCTTCGCGTGCTTCCATCTTTCATAACTACACACTTCAGCTTTTGCCCTCTACTCTGCTAAGATGTAATTTCGCTGGCTTGCTTTCTATCTCAGCAATATCAAAAATGTAAATCTTCTGTGGAAAGGCACGACTAGAGTGCCAAGTGATTGTGGCCACAAATATCAATTGGAAATAAAAATGGAATTGAAACTGCCTCGACTGCCAAGTTCTTTAGATGTTACCAAGTTAGCATTACTAGCATACTACGCAATCAAAATCTTCTTCAATATGGGTCTAATCACGCATCGACTCTGCTCCGGCTTTTCCTTTCTTTGTCCTTTTATTATGACAATTAAGCCGGTAGGATAGTTTCCTGCAGCCTGAAACCTCAATGGAAAATTTAATTCAGCTCTTCAAATCATCGTTTTGTGATAAATCCAAGATAATGTGAAAGAAGTGAATCATCAAATTTTTTTTTCAGTGTTTAAAAAATAACAAATCATTCTTCTGCTGTGGTGTTTTGCAAGTGCTTCAAAAAATAATCACGCGTAGTGTTTACAGATTGAAAGTAATATCTCGATAAATTTAAGAAGTTTTCGAATGCCTAGTGAAAAGGAAATCATCAGTGAATTACCGTTTAGGAATTAAGCATTACAGCGGGATTCAAGGTCCATCCGAGTTAGTGTTTGCAAGTATGTGCGACAGAAAATTATTTGCACTTCCGCTTTTTCAACAGCTCAAAAATTATTACATTCGTGTGAACCTAGCTCAGGAACTAAATTATTTAATGTGCTGTGCTGGCGAATTTCTATGTTTTCATTTCAACATTGGTTAAAATTTCTGCAATTTGTTTTGAGAAAATCTGAAATTCTTGTTCATTAATTTTTCTAATTTTTCATTCATAATTATGTGTGAGCAAATTAAGTAACGAATTTTAAGCTATTTAAATTATTCATAGGGAAGGATATTAAGATAAGTTTTTATGTGTTTGAAATTTTGTTGAGAATTTTGAATACGAATTTTATAATTATTCTAAAAAATAAAGGTGTAAAAAATAAGTGAAATTATTACAGATATGTAATATGAAATTATGGTAAATGGCATCTTAAAATTTATGGGTTATTGTTGTGTTAAGTATAGTATGATGAGGATACTGTACTGGTTCCTTCAACAGAGGCCTGTAATTACCTCTGTACAGTTGTTCCCTTTGTTCCTTCACCCTCTTCAAGTAAGATAATGTTGGAGGCTCTTATTTTATGAGTGTTGTTTTTTTTTGTATTATTATTATTATATTTTTTTATTATGGAATGTATTAGTGCAGTTCTCAAAGGCCAGTTACCTTAATGCAAGGAACGGAGGCCTTTTCAAGTAACTGCCAAGGCACCCTAGGCCACCAGTGCATAGAACACACTGGTTAGTTCAAGAGGACAGCCCTATTGATGGATATGTTTGTTTAGAAGTATTGCGAGACTTCCAGTTTTGTAAAATCAGGATTTGTAAATGAAAGATAATAACGGTGAAACCATATTTTCTGAAGCTTACTCCTATTATTATATGCTGTTAAAATATAATTTATCAGTATAGAAAATAAGTATCATAATATTTTATGTGCATACATTTAATTATAAGTAATGATTGTGTGTAAAAGTTTATTTTGTGATATTCTGTAATAACAAGAAACCTTTCCTGAAGAATTATGATTATGTGGATTCTCAAACAAAAAGACTTTTGGACTGAAATGCTGATGAAAAATTCAATAGGACTCTCAAAAATTAAAAATTTTATTTAAAAAAATGATATTTATAAATATACTTTACAGGACTAAAATTTTATTATTTATGTTTTTTTTTTTTGTTTTTTTTTTTTTTTTTTTTTTTTCCAACATTTGCTAGTACTTTCTTTATCTTTAAAAAGGCTTCTCTTGAACTCTCTTTCTTTAAAAAGGCTCTCTGTCGCTAACGACTCGGAACCTTTTCTTTTTGAAGGGAGGAATATGTAAGATAAAATATGGAATCAGATTATGATATAACTATAAACTTAATTCTTCCTCTTTATTCTAAAATCGTAATAACTTCTCTGCATTGCGTCTTTCTAGATCACTCTATCATCTATGGCGCCCGCCATCACTCTCTATGGCCCGCGCAACTGATGAGTAATTAAGAACTGAAAACGACCTTGTAACCAAAATGACCTTGTAAACCAAAACTTTTTTCTTCGCGTGCTTCCATCCATCTTTCATAACGACGCACTTCAGCTTTTGCCTCTACTCTACTCTGCTAAGATGTAATTTCGCTGGCTTGCTTTCTATCTCAGCAATATCAAAAATGTAAATCTTCTGTGGAAAGGCACGACTAAGTGCCAAGTGATTGTGGCCACAAATATCAATTGGAAATAAAATGGAATTGAAACTGCCTCGACTGCCAAATTTCTTTAGATGTTACCAAGTTAGCATTACTAGCATACTACGCAATCAAAATCTTCTTCAATATGGGTCTAATCACGCATCGACTCTGCTCCGGCTTTTCCTTTCTTTGTCCTTTTATTATGACATATATATATAATCCACTCTGTTATTCGACTCAGTGAGCTCATTTTTTTTCTTTATATGTTGTTAAATTGTGCATTTTTTGCTTTAAAAATGATTGAATTATGTTATCCTTTTCTTCCGGTTCAGGTTTTTATGGCTTTAGATAATCTGCATGCAATAGTTATAGAATTATCAACAATGTAAAAATTGTTTAAGTGCGGCTAAGCCTAATTTTTTTACCATAGCAGCCATTAGTTTGTTTACATTTGAAAGTTATCAGACTAGTGAATTAAGTCTTTTTGCACCTTCAGTCTTTTTGCCGATTGGGATTAAAAGGAAACTTTTAGTTTTGTGCACCGAAATAGCTGCCTTCTTGCCTGCTGGCCGAATAGCTTGTTTTTGCGTAGAAACTGTAATTTTAATGTAAACAATTTTTAATAAAGTGTTTTTAAATTAAAAGTGTTTTGCAGTTTGAAGTTTTCTAATATTCAGATATATATTTTATAATTGGAAGTGAGAAGTGATTAATTGAATGAAAAACTCATTCCATAAATAAGATAATGCAAACCGCAAAGGAGAGTTAGAAGCAAAACAAATTGACTTATTTGTAAAGCTTATTTATTAACAAAAGGTAAAGAGCAAAAAAGATGCTATATGTTTGATATTATTAAAAAAAAATTAGCGATTTTTTTCTCCCCTGGAGCAAATTACCAAAAAAAAAAAAAAAAAAAAAAAAAAAAAATTTACAAAAAACCAATATTACATGGTTGGTATGATTGTTAATAATACATTGTATGTCTCCCAGACGATGCAATACAGTCCGTACAACGCCTAGGCATGCTGAGTATCAAATTATCGATCTGATCTTGGGGGATATTACACCACTCAAAAAGCAATGCTCTCCGAAGTTCCGGTAGACATGTAGGAGGAGGTTGACGGGCTGCAACTCGTCGGCCAAGCATGTCCCACACGTGCTCTACTGGATTCAAGTCCGGTGAGAAGAATGCTGGCCAGTCCATACGGTGTGATATCCTCCGATTGAAGGCATTCGCTTACGATGTTTGCACGGTGAGGACGGCGTTGTCATCCATAAACACAAATTGTGCGCCCATGGCGCCCCGAAACAAACGTACATGTTGTTCCAGAATGACGTCCCGATAGATTTGGCTTGTCATGGTTCCAATTTGAACATGCAAGGTCAGTTCTGGAAACCCAGAATAATTCCACCCCAAACGAGCACTCCTGCACCACCGTAACGGTGTCGTTCAATGATGTTTTCTTGGTGGTAACGGGTACCTGGAGCTCTCCATATGAAAGTCCGGCGAGAATCAGACTGCAAGCTAAACCTGGACTCGTCGGAAAACATCACACAAGCCCCACTGTTGCGGTGTCCACAATGCATGCTCTCTCCACTACTCCAGGCTAACCGCAGGCGACAGTGAGTTGCAGTAAGTGGAACGCATCTGACAGGTCTACGAGCATATAGACCAATCTGCCCTAAGCGTCTGTACACGGTCTGCCTTGAAATTGTCGTACCAGTGGCTGAAGAGAGCTGACGAGACAGGTCTGAGGCTGTGCTCCGCCTGTTTTCTTTTGGCAGTAACTGCCAAATACCGGTCCTCATTCGGCGTTGTAACTCTGGGGCGACCTGTGGCTGTAACGTCTACTCACATTACCATCATCTTGGAATCGTTGCCAAAGCCTGGAGATGACACTCTGGGCAATTCCAAGTTTCGTCTGATACTTCCAGTTGGGTACGCCCACATTTCCAGACGGCCGATAATTCTACCACGTAAAAAATCATCCAAATGCGTCCTTTGCGTCATAACTATTCGGTTATTGCACTGAAATGCTTTATAAAGCGCTGCGAACAATTTTACTTCTTTGCCTGTATTCCTTATATATCACTCTCTTACACTCTCGTCATTGTGACGTACCATCGGTGTCATCTGGTTACTTCCTGAAATTTGCATATGATTCTTGAAGATGTGTGTAGTGATTTTACAGGTGATATATTTATTTTAGAGTCCGATTTCCACGTGACTCCGAATTATCCTTAATTTATCGACATGAGTGTATATCTCAATGAAATTTGAGGAAATAAGGTTAATTGAAATGCAAGAAAAAATACGTGTAATTTAATATTCCATACAAGGAAGTCATGTGGTTCACACATCAGATTTTAAGAACGTATTTGGGCGGAAAACTTTCATTACAACTAGATATATTTGTTTTAGAATAACATTCTATAAAATAACAAATGCTATTTCAATAATTCTTGTCGAAACAAAGGATTTTATTACGCCCTTTTTATAAAAATAACATTCTGAATGTTGTATAATTTAATTAGGCGTTCTTCCTAGGATTTGGGGCGGAATTGCACAGCTAGTGCCGTGGATTACACCTGTACGACCAATGGTGACGAAATTTTCTTGGCTGCCTAAACGGCAAGTTCATTAAAATATTGCCAATATTGAAGATCACAGAAAACTTACGAACCTGTTCTACGCAAAGGAAGCTGAACATTCTTTTATCAACCCTAAATTCAATCGCCCCATTAAAATGCCCTTAAGAGGCTTCCCTATCCCCATCAGTCGTAACAAAATTAAGTTAACTATTCAAATAGAGGATTCTCCTTTACACAAGGTGATTCAGCTAACAAAAAAGACGGATCCGGGCAGGAATGCCGTTATTTCTTCTCTTCCTTCTCGGACAATGCAAAGAATATTTACGACTTGAAAGATCCAGTATTCTTCATCGAAGATGAGTAATTTGTCTAAAAAAATCAAGTATCTCACGAAATGAATATCAATACTTTTGTTCTTAATAAGCGTATGCCCTCGCTCGAAAGTTTTTCTACCACAAATGAAAAATTTCATATATTATTGCAAATGACGGCAGGAATAAGTGACAACATTATTGCTAAATTATGTCTTAGTTCCTCAGAAATCTTAAGCTAAAGTTTGTTCCTTGTGTTAACTTCAAATTCTCCCTGCCACTGTTTCGGTTTCCTTATATAAAAATTGTGTATGATAATGAAAATACCCTTCCCATTTGTTGTCCATGATGAAATACTGGATCTTTCAAGTCGTAAATATTCTTTGCATTGTTCGAGAAGGAAGAGAAGAAATAACGGCATTCCTGCCCGGATCTGTCTTTTTGTTAGCTGAATCACCTTGTGTAAAGGAGAATCCTCTATTTGAATAGTTAACTTAATTTTGTTACGACTGATGGGGATAGGGAAGCCTCTTAAGGGCATTTTAATGGGGCGTTTGAATTTAGGGTTGATAATAGAATGTTCAGCTTCCTTTGCGTAGAACAGGTTCGTAAGTTTTCTGTGATCTTCAATATTGGCAATATTTTAATGAACTTGCCGTTTAGGCAGCCAAGAAATTTCGTCACCATTGGTCGTACAGGTGTAATCCACGGCACTAGCTGTGCAATTCCGCCCCAACTCGTAGGAAGAACGCCTAATTAAATTTTTTACTAAATATTTTATTTTCTATTAATTAGCTTCTTGTTCTATGTATTTTATTTTTAAGTTTTAATTCTGTTGTTGCAAATGTGGTGTCATCTAATGATCGTTGATCTAATTTTTACCCCTATACTAAAAACAAAAGTCTGCTTTATTCTAGTGCCCTACTTCTATCATCATCCAGTCACCAAGATTTGCAGATGCAGCCAATCTGCTAAACTGTTGTAATCATATGGCTACGCCTCTACCTTCTATAGCTCTACGCTCACAAAGTGAAGAATAGCACAAATAATGAAGTACACCTGTTTGAAGCGATGAAGTACACAATATGAAGTACGCCTGTTTTCAACACTTCAGCGATATACATACACATTATTTCTAATTATTATTTATCGTTCTACACTATAGCTTATCGCCTCTATGAACTGTATGCTCATATTCATTCTTAAAGTTATGCACTTTTCTACGATGTTCTACTGGATAGGGCGTGGGCCCAGGAACCCGAGCCTCGTGGCCTCTACTTGTTCATTTTATCCTTTACCTGCTTCTCTGCTCGAAGTTACACTATAGACACTTGCTATTGAAGTGAACTTAATAAAGTGCGGAATTATTAATTTATTAAACATTTTAATAGATTTAATGAGTCATGTCATGAAATAATTTAATTATATACTTTAATGTTAACATAAAAATATATACAGAGGATGTTCAAACATTTTTGTAATGATTTTGAAGATTTATATATAAACAAACCTTAGAATTTTATTTTATAATATGTTCATTCTGATATCCCTTTTGTTGAACTATCGTATTACATCTTGATTTCCAAGATAAAAGTCCTTTTCTTAAAACATCAAGGTTGATGTTATTCCACTCCTCTTTCACAATCTTCCAGATTCCATCCAATGTTTTGGGATGCCGCTTATAAAGAGCTTATTTTAAAAGTCCAAATGCACAGTAATCCATATGAGACACATCAGGGGACTTGAATGGGATGCATTTAAACGGAATAGCTTAAATTCCGGTTTCATTTCTCATTTTTTCAAAAAGTAGAGTAGTAGATTTAGAGGTATGGCTTGGAGCCTTATCCTGATGGAACTTAACACAGTGAAGATTGTTTAGATAAAGAGATGGCATTTCTTTTTTAAAAATAGGTGTTAAAGCATATTTCTGATAGTAATCCGAATTATTTTTGACATTTTTCTACTTTCCTTATTTTAAGTTTTCCGTTATAAGAGAATCCAGTAATAACCATCAAACCTTTAGAAAAAAATTCCTTGTTTTCTCTGAACAAACATATTACGTCTTTCTCTTCTCTTTTTCGGTAGTAAATAAAGCCTCATCAATAATATCCAAGGCCTCATCAATTGTAACTATATATTTCCCTTCTCACCTGCCAAATAATTTTCATGCAGCAATCTGCACAGTCTTACGCTAAGAAGCATGTTTCAACGTCAAGCGATGAATATCATAGTTTTTTGTTTTGATTAGCTTTAAATCAAATTTTATAATTTCGCTCACAGTTCCCACAGAAATATTTAAATATTTTGCAATAGCTCCTTTGGGGGGGGGCTGCATTTTCCTTTAAAATATGAGATGCAGCTTTAGATTTTTAATAAGAGTTGTACATACCTTTGTCGGGTGTGCATTTTGTGCCTTTTCTCCAGTCAGATGTAAACTTTGACGTTTCTCTCCTTTCATATTAATTATGTCAATTATTTTACGTGTAGAAACATTAAAACCATGCTTTTCACATCTTTTTAAACAATTGAATAAGAGTATTCTCTTCGGACAGCGCAAAAATATAGCCTTCGATCCATTGTTTATCTTTCAGTAACATAAAAAAAAAAAAAAAAGAGAGAGAGAGAGAGAATATTTTTAATGCTGCAGACGATAATTTAACTTTATTCCAATTTGATGCAAGTCACGTTTGTATTTTTAAATTAATACTTAAATTCACGGAGAAAATCGAAATCGTTACAAAAATGTGTAAACACTCTCTGTATATACTTATTCATATAAAATATCTGGTTCGGATACTTTTGTAAATTTAACAGTTTTGTTCTGATCATTATTATCGTCTTGAATAAACACCAAGAAAGCGATTCCTTTCTACTTTCTTAGAAGTATCATTTTCTTAGATGATAGGCATTCTTACTAGCAATACCGCAAAAATTATAAAACGCAGTTTTTCGTATAAAAACTGCACGGCTTCCCTTGAACATAAAATATTGAAGTATTACCCTAAAAGAATTTAGATATTGAAACTAGCAGAAGAATTTCATTCGATATTGATACTGATAAACTAAAAAAAGTTATTGATTATGTTATTAATTTGAATTCTCGGTAGTCCACCTATTGTGTGCCTCCATAATAAAGTGACCACCGCTTCTGGCGTTAGTAGTAGGCAACGCCTACAGTGGTTAGTGGCCGCCCATTGAGGAAAAAAAATAATTTTACCTTTTGCTGTGCAGTATCGCGAGGCACGATCCCAACTGAGGATGTGATTAGGGGTTTCAGCAATGTGGTAACAAAACTTGTCTCCAATGTCAATCCACGAGGATTCGCTTCCTGGGCACGTACCAATTACTTCAGGAAATTTCGGAGGTGCTTCTAGAGATGAAACAAAAATAAATTTATGAGAGGATTTATAAATGGGAGTAATACAAAACTATGACTATAATGAATATAAAAACTAAAAAAAAAAAAAGCTCATAATTATTTTACATAGATTATATGCAAAAGGAATTTATAAGCTGACTAATCAATAGACTGACTAACATAACATCATGAAAATAAGAGAAATTTAGTCATGATCAACATAAAAGTAAAGGAAATTAATTATTTTGTATTAACTTATCCACAGTTGATTCTAACTAGTGTCATATATCTAACTAGTGTTAGAGAAAGCCACCTAGGTTAACAGTTTGCGAATAATTTCCAACAAATAAATAAATCAACAGTATAAGATTTGAATTGTTCTTCCCTTTTTAATTATAATCAGAGTTATCAGATTTTATGGCATAAGATGGCAAGCTGAGGGAAAAATTGTTATCGCAAAAGAAAATTGAAGGTGCAAAACCATGTCGTGCGGACTATGGACCATATAAGAGATGGAGGACACGGAGGTCGTTGAGAAAGCTGAGCAGTAAAAAACTTTCATAATTAATGAAAATTTGATCAAACCATGTGGTAAAATCAATGCTAAAAATCAATACTCAGTAACAGAAATTGGCGTAACTTAAAGGTCCACAGCAAATACAGAAACTTTGATAGAGGAACTTTGAGTTCAATAGAGGTATTTTGAGCTCAAGAAAAGAGCACGAAGATGACGACTGCGCTAAAGAGAAAAAAAATCTGATGTGTACACCACATGACTTCCTTATATTGGAATATTAAATTGGAATATTAAATTATACGCATTTTTTCTTGCATTTCATTTAAACTTATTGGATTGAATTAAATATACTTCGCCGACAGTGCATAAACCACAATAGAATAAATGCATTCTTTAAAATTCTTCTAGTATTTGTTTACCATAGCGACACTCTGGCGCTAGATTCACTTAACAGTATTAATAATTATAAACAGTTAACTTATATAATAATTATATAACGGAAAATAAGTTAACTGTTATATAATCCAATAATTATATAACAGTTAACTTATATATTCGTTCATATTATAACTCATAATGCACAAAATTTATATCATTTAAGAATAGATTATCTAATCGTTGCCACATGTTCTATTCAAATACTATAATAAAGCTAGAATGATGTATAAAAGAAATTAAGCAAACAAAACAAAAAAAGAAACAGTTTTTCACAGACGATTGAGTATTTCTCATTCAATTAATTCAGTTCTCACTTCGCGAGAAGGCAAAAATACATAAAAACTCAAAATATCTATATTAAAAATTACGAAAGTAAATCTTAAAAAAAATTAAATTGCTTATTTCCTCAAAAAAAATTCCAGAAAGGATTAAGCATGATTTAAATATAATAAATGAAGGCGTTATCTTTGTTGTTGCGAAGCTAAGTTTCTCTAGATTGGCAACAAATCCACTAGTCTCCTGTTTCAAATGTAAACATCAATGGCCGCCATTTAAAAAGGCTTAGCGGCAATTAAACAACTTTAAAATTGCTGATAATTCTAAAAATATTGCACACAGATTTACTAAAGGCATAAAATCCTTAACCGGAAGATAAAAACAACATAATTCAATCATTTTTAAAGCAAAAAATGTACAATTTACAAACATATAAGAGTAAAGAAACTGAGATCACTGAGCCGGGTAACAGAGTGGATATATATATAAATATATTTATACGTTTGGTGCGGCCGATTGCAACCAAAATACGAGGTGCACATCTACATGTTATAGCAGTCCTATATACAAAATTTCAACGTTCTGAGGCTACTCGTTTTTGAGTTATGCGAGATACGTACGTACGTACATACGTTCGTACAGACGCACGAAAAATTCTCTTCAGAATTAATTTTTAAAGCAGTTTATAATTTTTTTGAAGGAAAAGAGTCTTTTTATTCTGTCCTTACGTACAGATATCACGCAAAAAAAATCGTTAAATTGCATTCGATAGCGGTCAAAATGGATATTTCGGTTGAAATATGCTGCCTGAAGCTTTTCGCGATTACAATACTTCCTTTTTACTTAGTACAAGGAAGTAAAAAAAGAAGTTCTATTCATAAGTGTTACGTATTTTAAATGTAAAATAAATCAAATTTCTTAAAATTAAGTAACTTACTATTAATGGTTTTACAAATATAAGGTAAAGTTCTAGAACAATCAGTCACATTCCATTTCAGATCATCAGCTATATCCATGAGCACACAGTCATTCCTCGAACTCAAAACAGGTTTTGATTTCCATTTGGAGTAATACAAAGGTTGTCCGTCAGACCACTGCAAATATCTAGTTCCCTGCAAGTTGATATTATTTGTATCACAACATTGAAAAAAATAATTTTATACATCTACACATACTTCTATAAGACACAGAAAATGATCTATGAAGCAGCAGGTTTTTAATTTGCAGACAATATACAGGTATTAATTTGTGAGCAGAGTTTCTTCACGCAGTTCATAACAGTTTAAAGAAAAACGCAACTAATTATAAACTTTTAAATAACATTACATTATAAATAAAACGTGTTTATTTTTAATTGTTAATAAGGCATGCATATTAAATTGGATTCTTTAATTTTATTTCACCTTAGATGCCATTTGGTATTATTCATGTGATGTGTTTCTATTCACATATAACAAGATTCATTTGTTATTTTAGTCTTAACATCGAAGTTTATCATGCATTGAAATACTTAATTGAATACCATATATATCATTTTGTACCTGTGATGCTCGCATCAACTTAGCTCGCTGCCCTACCTTTTCTAACCCCATTACTGTGCTATAGAGTGACATGTACGTAATGACATATGTTCCTTTATAATAATCTCAGAATGTCTCAACCATCAGTAATACATTACATAACCAATCCATGGTTGCAATTGTTCCGGATGCTCCCACCACTTTATAGACTATGTTCTAGGCATCGTGGACGATTTCGAAAAGCTACGCTTTGTGTTGCTGAGTATGTGAAATATTTGGTCACTCTTGAAAATTTCGTGGCGACTGTCATCCGGAATTCCATATGCTTTCCTTAATCATGAAAGATTACTCTATCGTAAGAGGGAAAATTCTTATAGAAAAATTTCTTTAAGGACTGACCACTCTTAAGAAGATGTTTTAGATCTCATTGCTCATGATTCGGGTCGGAACGTTTTCATGGTGACAGTTGCAAGGAGCTTTTAATTCGTCACCTTTGTTATAAGGAGTATATTTTCTTTAAAAATTAATTGTAATGGCATTTTTTACTGGGAGGACACTTTCTAAAAATTTAAGAGAGTGTGTAAGGTCTGTTAGTGGTGCTGGAAGAAAATGTTAAAGCATGAGAAAAATTTTCGATAGAATCCAGACTGTTAAGTAATGCAAATTTATGGACAGAAACTGTCATATTTCATAATTTTTCAGTTAAATTCCTGATGTGAAAATTTATTGGTCGCTATTCAGTGTAAAAGACCGCGATGGGACTGGCCTCTGTGAAACTGATTGGTTCACCTAACTTAGCTGATAATAAGTCTTTTTCTTTGCAGTTACGCTCAGGCTTATAAGAACAGAAGTCTTTTCTTCTTGTGACCCTTTAGTTTTTTTGAATGGTAAAGCACCTAAAATTGCGTCAGGACTGAAGCTGATAAATGAAGCATATAAATTCGTCATTAGAGCTTACTTTTTTACAAAGCAGTCGTAAAATCCTAAAGATTTTCGAGGTATTTTGCTACTGAGAGCTAAGAAATCCTTAAAGAAAGCTTCATGTGCAACTGTTACAATGTTAGACGAAACAGAACACATTTAATATCGAAATAGAACTCGTAATATAAATCACTCGTAATATAAATACAAACCAGTCTTTCTTAGAAAATTCTCTACAAATATATCCTCTTACATAAGAAGCATTAAATAATCCATACACTTTTTCAGTGACATTTATATTCTTAAAAACTAGACTCATTTTACTATAAATTATGTGTCATACATGTGCATTATATTTACCCTCGACTCAGAGGGAATCCTTTTTAAGCACATATGGGAATATTGAAGCTCCCTTTTACATGAAATATTTTACAGGCTTCCTTCAGTCTTCTATAAATGAAGCAAAAAGAAAAGAAAGACAAGTATAGAAAAGCCGTACGCAGAAAATCTGTTTCACGCTTTTCTGTCGGCTAGCAATTAGCCTCCACTAACTATTATGCTGTCTAGTGTGGGACACTGAAGTACATCTTGCAAAATAAATTTCAGGAATATTTCCATAAATTACTATAATCGTGACTAGAAGTATTTTCTTGCGAAAGGTCCTGACTTTGAATTTGAATAAGCTTCGATGTAATAACCTCTTGGATACTACATGCACCATTTATTTTTAAGTAACATATAGCATTTTACTATAATATTGTGTAATATTTCAAAGCTATATTTATATACTGGTATACAATAACGAAATAGAGAAATCATTCCTATCGTAGACATTGTGAAAATTACCGATAACTACCTGCACGCCTTTTAAACCATTCCAAAGGAACCTAAACTGATCCCGAGAATTTGAATGAGAACTCAACAAGTTGAATAAGAAAGCTTGTTCAAAACTGTCAACAACAGATACCAAATGTCCTCCAAAATTCTGACAACTCTTTTCCGCTTCTCCGTGAGTACTAGGTTTTAATATAAAGCGATAACACGAATTTCTGTACGAGAATGAGCCAGCGTCACATTTTGAAGATTCAGGCTTGGGAGGTGGTACATTAGGATCTGAAAAAGGGGACAAATTATGGTTTCAAGAGGCACAAAATTAGTATAGTAAATTAGTTTAATAGTTAGGGTGAAGAAAACTTCAGATGAGTTTACGAAACATGTTTTTAGGTATTAAATATGAAATTTACCTGATGGCTGCTGACAAATATATCCGTATTTATCAATTTCGCAATAATCTGCTATCCATTCTCCTTTAGCGACGCCTTCATAACTCAGCCTACCGCAGTATTTCTGAAACAAAAGAAAATTTTTGTTACCTGAGACATAGATGCTAATAATATTTTCAATGTAAATTGTCACTTATATCTTCAGGAATGACAAGTAGTCTTTGAAATGCGAGATTCTATTTCTGCTCAGGTTTTTGGTGATCTGTAAAATTTGAAAAATACTGCACCCAAATCATGTAGCCTAGAGGCGAAAAAATAATTAAGAAAACTTTATGAGCGCCTGAATATATAAAATATTTGAAATCACTATTTATCATACAATTTCATAAAATATGCACAAATACAGACGATGTCAGCATTTTTTAAACATTTTTAATGCATTTGAAATAGTAAATTATTTTGTAGGTTCCATCTTATACTCTTAAGTATCAATCTATACTCTAATGTCTACATCAAATGGGCATTTATTAAATTTACCATAGGAATTTTTCTTATACAATTTTCCATAGTTCTTCAGTTGTCTTTGTCGATGTGCAGAAAATGATCTTTACTATAGCAATCCGAAAGAACGGTATAGTTCACTAATGCCACATTTGGAGATTTTGCTGAAATATGTTGTAAAATTATTAGGTTTTTCGAAACAGGAAGCATAAAGAATCAGCAATGTCTTTATCGCACTTTGTCTATGTGGACTTCAATCCCTGAACCTTCCAAATGTTGGCCCAACATTCTTTCTAATTACACCATGAAGGCAGATGATGAGAAAAGAAAAAAAAAAAAAAAAAAATACTTTACACTCTTTCCCACTTAAAGGCCGACTGAGGAGGGAGGGATCTAATCGCCAAATCCTGGTGGTGACTAGTTATCATTCATCATATTTCAATTCGGGCGCTACTTGTAGAGTCACTAGATTGTTTGAAGCAGGAAACGTTAAAAATCAGCACTGGCCTCGCTGGGACTCAAATATTTGACCATACTAGCCGGACGTGCTTTCCAATTATATCACGAAGGCATGCGGTAAGAAGAGAGAAAATACTAAAATCTGCTAATCACGACAAAATTCCAGAGCTGTTAAATGGTCTGTAACTACAAGATAATTAAAGGTGATGATCTTCGAAAGGAAGCTAAACAGCAGATTTTTGAAAGGGCAGGCTGAAAATCGTAAAATATGCAATTTATGACGTAAACCTTCCCGTAAGTTCGAGCTTCATGATGTGGTGGCAATCAAACGTACATAATATTATTTGAAGATCATCTCTTGTCATCTGAGGACAAATGATGATGCAGTATGGCTGAATTATGTGGGAAGTGGAATTGCAACTGTAATTGTAACTGAATTAGATAATCATTAAGTGCCATCTAGAATAGCACAGGACAATGACGAATGCAGACGTATGATGCTGTAACGATTCTTTTTATTTCCTTTCCTTAACACTTTTAATTAATGTAAATAAATCACAGATCAGTAATAACTTGATGAGTATTAGTCATGTTTTTTCTATATGTATTCATAACAAAAATAATCTGAAAGGCCACCAAAGCTTATTTTCACTTATAAATAAATACTAAATGTGTATCTCTCTTCAAAACGAATAAGTTGAAGAATATATTCAGTCAACTCTACATTTGAATATTAATTAAATTTCACAATTCGATCATACTCGCCTGCTCATTATTCTGTTAAAATCCAGAATTTCGCTAATTTTCAACTCGGTGAATTATTTGGAGGAAAAATAAAACTATCTAGGCTAAGATTTAAAACCCTACGTACATTATTTACTTAATTTATTATTCATCGATTCTCTTATAGGAATCAGTCACATTATTATGAGCAGTTAATGTACAAAATACACGCTTTTAGTAATAATCAGTCACGTGAAGGAATTACTAACTCAGCAGAGTAAAATAGGTTTGCGTCCGCGAATAAGCAAATTGAAGTGCACACACTATTTTTTGAGTTTCCATCTAATGGTTTCTTTGAGACAGTGCCAAAAGTGTGAAATTTAAGATATAGGGAGTTTATTGGCTAAAAGAAGAGTTTAAAGCTCGGATTTACCATGACCAGGAAATAATTATTTTCACTTAAAAAGCTTTCTGAAGCTATCAGCAAAATCAAAAGCATGGCATAAAACGGTCTGTCTATTTTCTAGAATCGTGTCTGAGTCTTTTTTCCTTAAAAGTTTCATCCCTGAAACTTCATCGTTCATCTTCTTCTTAGAGCAGAAACATGACTCGTCGAAAAAAACGCTCTTTGCCACATGGTTAGTGTCCTGTTTCGATTTTACTGTTGTGAAAATTAACTCCTTTGTTCGCGATGCTCTTCGTAAGCATGGAGGCTGTCACCGGGCATCCGTTAGGATTTTAATGCGCCGCGAAATCTTTTCCTGAGCTAGTGACCCTTGGATTCATGTGAAAAAGCTAGGTGAACCGCAACAAATTGCTGGATAATTCTAATCAAACTTCTCAGCTGTAGTTATCAAATGAGGGCACAGAGGAGATCTAATACAGCTGGGGTATTGTAAGAGGACATTGAGTAGCTAGTGGGTAGCAAGAACATGCATGGAAAATTTGATTGCCTAATTATTTGCAAAGAAAAAATTAAAACATTCACTTCTTTATAATATAATATTTTTATTCTTTATATAAATAGTATAGTCTTTATAGTGATCTCATCAAATTAAGTCATTCGACACATAAGCACGTGTTGATCGAAGTCGCACGTAAGCTAATTTTTTGTTTTAACTCCATGGAAACAGAAATTACAAACTATCAGCCTAATATTCGGAAAACCTGACCACAAGACCGTACGTGACATCCAGTCACTACAAGTACGGACCAGTAGTAGCATTCTCTTTCATATATGCATCAATCCTTTCGCCGTCCTTCTCCTTTCCGCGAAAATTTCTCCCCAGCGGCCGTCTGTTTTTCGTAGCGTATAATGTTGTTTTCTCTGTACATCATAACTTTCCATACTTAACTTTCGTAGTGGATGAATGTCAATGAATATTAAGTAAAATTATAAGGAAATGAAGCATAATGCAAAAATAATAATATATCTGCTTATTTCTAACAGCAGGATAATTTGATAACATCTGATCCAGGCGGTCCACTCCTCCCATTTTTTGTTGAAATCTTTTATAATTATTGGACATCCAGTCACTACAAGTACGGACCAGTAGTAGCATTCTCTTTCATATATGCATCAATCCTTTCGCCGTCCTTCTCCTTTCCGCGAAAATTTCTCCCCAGCGGCCGTCTGTTTTTCGTAGCGTATAATGTTGTTTTCTCTGTACATCATAACTTTCCATACTTAACTTTCGTAGTGGATGAATGTCAATGAATATTAAGTAAAATTATAAGGAAATAAAGCATAATGCAAAAATAATAATATATCTGCTTATTTCTAACAGCAGGATAATTTGATAACATCTGATCCAGGCGGTCCACTCCTCCCATTTTTTGTTGAAATCTTTTATAATTATTGGGTTTTTTACAGTTCTTTTCCGTGTTCCAACATCAATCATCAAGTTATTATGGGCTGTATTCATCAATCGTATATCCTTCTTATCTTTCCAATTCACAACCTTATTTTTTTTCTTTTTCTGCTGAGTAGACTTTGAAGCCATCTCTCACTGTCTTATATCTTATGTAAAATGGCGCGAATATTCATAAAACCCTGGGCAAATTCAATTAGAAAGACAATGCCTGATTAGTTTAGAAAGCGTTTTAAAAGCTTAAAAGTTTTTAAATGTAGAAGAACGCTTGAAACGCGTTACGGACGCCCTGTGGAAGTTTCGCTTGAACGCGCTAGACGCGTTACGGACGACGAAAAGGTTTTAATGAATGTTTTTCAGTCATTACAAGTGCGGACCAGTAGTAGCATTTTCTATCATATATGCGTTAATGAATGTTTTTTCAGGTTCTTTACTCGTATAAATACTTTGAGAAGACGTTCTACTCCCGTATTATACGATGTTTCTTTAAACCATTTGAGGCAGTGCAAGTGCAATACATACCTAAAATGTTTTATGAGTTTACAGTAAATGATTTCAATTTACATTCAAAGGATAATTCAAAATTCGAAAAGAGCGCTGAGCGAAAATTTCCTCGAAAAAAAGGGGAACGCAAGAGGTTCGAAAAGTATATTCTCAGCATTGGTTCGTGATGGTGGCATCTGTTGTCGTAAAGTAATTCCGGTTCTTTCAAGTTTGCTGTACTTTCATCGCTGCAACTCACGAAGTGTGCCCATTCGTTATTTCTGCAATGCTAACACTCCATGCCTAATAATTGATGAATATTAAGTCTAATAAATCCAGTTTTTACTGTTGTGTTGTGCATTAGCAACGTAAGGCGTATTGAGAACGTTTCCTCTATTTAGCTCAGTTATCAAAGAATCATAAGTCAAAATAACTACGAAATCTTTATTTAACAAGTACGAGAATTCTGCTTAAGTAGAACACCAATTAAAGTAACAATCTTCACAAGCATTAAAAATTGAAGTATTGAAAAGAATAACTTACATAGAATCATCATCAGTCCTAAAAATAATCAGGCAACAAAAAGGCATCAGGCTATTTAGGAAACAAAAAAAGGAATAGGAACATATGCTTTGACACAGTACCTGAAAGGGAAATTAGACCTTTGGCCCAGGTACAAGTAGCTAAGGTGAGAATCGAATGTCCCTGACCTTTACTTTCTCTCGCCAATATATATCTTGGCGCACGTTCGTTTCTTATGCTTTTGAGTTTCATTATGCAAAAACAGTTACATTGTAAATTTACAAATATGGTAAATCCACAGCTTTGTAAATAGAAAGAGCTGTTATTACGTACATGGACGAAAAATATTTCATTTTGTATGCGGCGTTTGCCTTTGATACTTAGTGCACTGTAGGATTCGCTGAACATTGATGATGTTGACAACGGGTAGCCGTCAAAATAATGTACACTGCCCCCCCCAAAAAAGACAGTTCTATATACCCTGTTCTACTGGGCCGATTGACGAAATTCAATTTGCGTTTTTCATGTCTCGAAAGCGCGACTTAAAATATGTATTAGTTTATATATAGCATTGTTCTAATATAGGTATTTTGACACAAAATCGCACGTTTTCTGAATTGAAATACCAATCTTTTTCCATATTTCGATTCTAAGACTCAACTTATGTCAAACTTCCAAGTTTCGTAAAAATCGCACGAGTAGTTTTTAAAAAATTCGCTCTCAAAATTTTAGCTCCTCAATGTTAACTGAATTTGATATATATTTATTAATATCTCTTTTTTTATTTGATTCTTCCTTTCACATTTCGAAATTTAGTTTCATTCCAAATAAAATTCGCCCATTCTTTATGATTTATTTTTAAATAATTTTTAAAATTTTTCGGAAAAAATTTTGAATTATAATCTATAAAATTTTTACCACCATCTTAAAGTAGATGTATTTCTAAGCCTATTTGCAAAAAATTAAAATTTTTTATTTAAAATTTCCGAAGATATACGTGAATTTATATACTGGCGTGTTTTGAAATTTGGCGTATTTGTTGAGAGCGATAATAAGATCAAAAATATGGTTTAGGAACTTTGTTAAAATTATTTGAAAGGAGAACGATGCAACTCTCTTTCTGCTCACGCACTATGTAAAAAGATAGGAATAAAGTGCTTTTTTTTCCGGTCCTTCACAATGGAAGGGAAAGGAAAATAGGTTGTCATATAATAAGAAGTTCGCCAAGTGAATTACTCTTGGCGCAAACTGAAAAAAAGATGCCAAGATAAATTTGTGAATTTCTTCGTAAATTTCGCGCCAAATTTTACAAAATTTAATATTTAGGCATAATTTGAATATTAGAATCAAAATAAGGAAAAACATTGGTATGTTATTTTAGAAAAAGTCCCATTCTGTGTCAAAATACCTATGTTAGAACAATGCTATATATAAATCTAAATCTAATATATATCCTAAGTCGCGATTTCGAGACATGAAAAAACGCAGTTTGAATTTCGTCAATCGGCCCAGTAGAACAAGAGATATAGAACTGTCCTCTTCCCATCCCCCCGCAGTGTACCTTAACGATATATGTTCAGTCGATGGTTAAAATCGTTAAGATCTTTGATAAAATGTGAAATTTCTGCGAATGACTCAAGATTTGAAAATGACAGGTCTTTCTTAAAATAAAGTAAATATTTAATTATTCCTTACAACCTTTATGCAAACAAATCACCTGCATTCATGAATTAAGCTACAGATAAACGAAATTTGAAATTAGGTTTTTTTCAATATATGTTCCGTTAAGTATCAAAATTTCTTAATATGGGTAACAGCTTTGAGTTTTCATCTCAATTCAATTTTAATTCAACGCCTTGGAGAATTATAACTCTCAGAGTACATGTGATGGAACCTCAAAAATTCCTGAGAGCTAAATTAAAGAATGACATTTAATTTCATCAATAAACGAATTTTTTTTTTCAAATTTTAATAAATTAGATTTTCATTGATATCTGTTTACCCATGTGCCAGGGGGAGGATGACCAACAGCCCAGTATGTAAAATCTGTTCTGGAATTGTCAATCCAACCAAATACTAAGTCGTGTCCGATCTCATCCGATGTCACTTGCCGCATGCCAATCCAAGCCGAAGTTCCCAAGTTATACAAATTCTGAGTCAAGAATGCTGAGGGAGAAAAAAAAAAAAAAAAAAAAAAAACACGTTATTTCATAATACAAATAGCATATTGAGGTGTAAATCAGCTACACTACTGTATAATTTAAACAAAGAACAGTCGATGATTTCATAATATTTGTCCGTTTTTGTTTTTGAATATTACCGTTTTTACTCGAAGATGTCTCTTTTGCTGTATTTTTTGTTCTAAAATTCATTAAGGTCTTATAATCGAGTGTTTCGATAAATGACATTGCAGTATCAGTGGAAAAGAGTTTAATTACCAAATTGTGCCATATAATTTGAATGCTTAAATACACATAATTATCATATGTATAAACTGCGTCTCCCAACTAGAATAGTGGTTAGTAGTTCTGAATGCCGCACCTAAAGGCCCGAGTTAGAATCCCGGAGAAGACATGGATGTTTTTAAATGTATAGTGTCTGTGAGGCATGGGGGCACCCTAAATATGTGGAAAGTCCTGTCGAGAGGTTAGTGGTAAGGGAAGAGAGGGGGAGACCCTCTTTCTCAAAACAGAAGGCTGAACTGAGCTAAAGTCGGGCTGTCACCTATATGGTGCTAAAGGCCTGTGCTGATTTTCCTTACGTAAGCATGGCTTCCTGTCCAGGGATTGTACTGCCTGGAACGTGCGGTCTTTGGAAAGGGAGAAATATTACGAATTTTGTGCTGTGTAAATAATTTTTGTGACAATTACGTGGGCAATTGCAGCAGTTGGTAGTTCAGAGCGACTTCAGAGTATTCAGATATCCGTGAGAGCTTCGCCTTTCAGATGAGCTTTGCATTACTTGTGCTTAACGTTCTTTGTAGTTTGAATGTAGCATCCCCTGTGTACCTGTAATATATATGCAACTGCAACCATATCAGACCCTCATATTTCTTCCCGTAATTTTGAGAAGTACTAGAGATTTCTAGTCGGCTGGGTGAAAACTATGTAAGACCGGAGACAGCATCTGCTCTCAGTTGTTAGTTCGGTTAGAAGTCGGAGTACTGAGACATCCAAGAAAGCTTCGCCTTATTTAGATGCGCTTTGCCTTGCCTTGCGTTAACGTTGTTAGCAGTGTGAAGTGTAAGTACCGATTGTACTCTGCGATACTGTGAAGAGCTGTACGAGTATTTTTGTGGAAAGTTCCAGAACTTTGAAGTGTTTCTTTTGGTAAAATAAATGTTATCATATCAATCTATGGTCTGTTCAGTCTTCTGCATTCAATCTGTTACGAACCCTGAAGCACGCAACAATTCACTTGAAATTTCTGATAAACAGCGCTAATGTACGGAATTTATGCGAGATTTATTTCTCAAACTATAACTAAATTTTTGCGTTGCAGACAATGGAAGAACTATTATTAATTTCAAAAGCAGATTTAATTAAACACTGGAAAATATTTTACCTTGTTCTTCTATGCTGTGAATGGAAACGAGATCATTGTTTTTTCCTAGTGCCCAACAAGCATCTCTGGCTTGTTTGTATTGCACTCTGTCTTCTTCTTTAGCACCGAAATATTTGTAACACTTCTGACCTGAAAGACACGCCAGATAAACATTCAAAATATGATATATAATATAAAATAGTTCATGAGCAGATCATAATGCAACTTAATGATATTAAAAATGGGTGTTTATATTTTGTTCTGTCGAATAATTTCGGGGGGGGGAAGAGAAAGAAAAGAAAAAGAAAGGGAAAAAAAAAAAAGAAACTGTCGCCAAACAGTGCGATTTAGTGCCAGTATAATGGATAAGCAGATCATTCCAACGCACTCATTATATCTCCACTTTGGTTTTATGTAGCCCCAATTAATTCTCGATAAATTATAAAGTTTCTGTAAAGAAAAATATATGTTAACAGCTATTTTTCTGTTTTTCCTTTGCATTGAAAAAAAAATGGTAAAGTTTGAGACGTGCCCTCTACATAGAAGAAAGCAGTGAAGTATATTCAAAATTATAATATCTTACTAAATATATAAATAAATAAAAGGTATACTATACGATTTTTAGTATATCTACTGCCGAGGCAAGTACTTAATATACACGATATGAGACTTTGAAAACGGATATAGAATGGTGTTGCAACGGGCACACCAGCGCCCGAGCGGTAAAAGTCGCTGAACACTGGTAGGTTGGTGGTGGTTCGAGTCTTGGGCGAAAGGGCTAGCTGCAGGGGCGTTTTCGTGGTTTTCCCTCATGTGTAATGTGGATACGAGCCACCTCCACGGGGCATCCCTCCCTTTCTGTGTAGTGCCTGAGGGCAGAATGCGTGATGAGTAACAACAATGGTGTTGCAACATGAAAAATTATGACTAGTATCTATTTAAAATGAAGCATAGCTCCAAGGCTCTAAAATCACAATCATACTGAACTGAACCCAAGTCGAATTACTAAGTTATATAACTGTATAACTAATTACTTTTACAGCTTCATTTACAGCTGTTCTAGCGCGTTAGAACTTATTGAATGTGGAAACTAGTAGTTGCCTTTGGCAGACAAAGCAGTGATTGATTGATTGGAACAATTAGTTAAGACAATTGTGCTTACATATTCGTCTTAATAGATCTTCGAGAAAAATCGGAAGGCCAAACAAAATCGTGAAAGTTGACGGAAACCTTTTTACCGAAGTGTTGTCGTGTGACTTATCTCGACAGTGACATCAGAACAAGCCCACGAAACTTATCGTGGGAAGGAGTGCAAGATCGTTGGCACCATACAGGTGACAATACAACTTTTCTCACTTTTGGAGGAAAGCAACCCACGGGGACGGGTCCAAGGGTCTCCCATTTCTCTTCCCCTACCATCATGCTCTCAAGAGGATTTTCGGCTCGCCGCAAATTTAGAGTGCCCCCATGTTTTTACCGTATACAAGAACGAATCGGATCGAATACTTAAAGCGGCAAATGGATATTTGATGCATTGTGCAGAGACTGACAAATGTTTGAATTTAAAAGTGCCAGATATACGTGAAGCTTCTCTAATGGAAGAAATAAAAGAAATATAGAAGATGAATCTGTAATTATTTAGGATTCTTTAAAGTCCTATAAAGGTAATAAAATATGAGTTTCAAGGATTCAAAAATTTCACAGTTAATCCGCGATATATATTCATGTTTTCCATAACTGGTGAACATCTCGAAACATTGTAAAACTGTACGATTCGGCAAAAAAATTATGTGGAGTAGGGTTCACACACACACACACACACACACACAAACAAACAAAAAAAACAAAAAAAAAACTTTTGTTGCTATTTTAAGTATACTAGGAATTTTTGGCCACCAGAATGATAGGCTCTATTTTTAATAAATTTGTTTAACACGCAATTTCAAAGCTTGAGCTTATATTTATTTACATATTTTACATTATCTGGAATTTGAATCTATCAGTTTGTAAAGCAATTAGGTTATTTCGAAGCAGGAGAAATGAAAAATGAGCAATGCCCTCGCCGGTACTCGAATACGCGCCGAGTGTGTTGACCACTACACCGCAAAGGCATGCTAAGAAGGCGGGAGAAATACCTTATAAACTCCCTCTTTTAAAGGGTGACTGGGGATTAGAGGACCCAATCGCCAAATCGTGGTGGCGGAGAATCATCATCCACCGCCTTTTTTATTTCGGGCGCCACTGTAGAGACATTAGGTTTATTTCGGAAGCAGGAGAGATGAAAAATGAGCAATGCCCTAGCCGGGACTTGAACCACGGAACTTTCGAATACTCACCGAGTGTGCTGACAACTACGCCACGAAGTCATGCTAAGAAAGCGGGAGAAATACCTTATAAGTTATCTAACTAAATAAAGAACTATCTGTTCCTTCAAACTGCCATATAGGAATTCAGAAACATGGAAAAATACGTTAAGTGCATAGAAATATAGTACAGAATATACAAAACAATCAAATTCACATAATATTGAGGGAAAAGATTAAATGTAAATTACTGATATTTTAATGTAAATCACTTAATACCTCTTTAATAATATGAAAATATTAGCAGTATTATTAAAATAAGAATTAAATGGTGACAGTATGAAGTTTTCTTACTCATATTACAACTGCAAATAGGTTATATAACCTGAATAGGACTGGGTTATTTAACTACGGCTAAGAACTGTATTACTCATCACTTTTCTCGGTTTCGTAATGCTTACAAACTGTCAGTTGTATTTCTGATAAAAGGTTAAACAATTATCTTTGCCCTTCCAACTTGTATTCCTTGTTAAAATGGAAGTCACAACTTCTGCAACGCAACTTAATTCTACAGGTCTGAACTTTGTGTTCAAAAGAAAATAGCAAAATACATTTGTCGGAAGCTCCTCTTGGATTCTATTATAGTTGTTAGAACCCAGCTTCAGTTGTCTTTCTTTTCATATTTTGTCACTGTAAGAGTGGTTACCATGTGATGTTTGTTGTAGTTCCAAGGATTTTGAAAATAAATATGACGCTTTAGAATTTTATATATAAAGTCATTTTATTTTAACTTTATTAGGAGAAAGGAGAACGGTTAGTTCTTGCAAATCTCAAACAATTTGGGTGACGACGGAAGTGATCGGTAAAACAAGTTAAGGTAATTTTATTGGTTTTATGGAATTTAATTCTATTTGACTTTATAAGGATCTTAAGTTTTACTAACGTTTATTTTATTTTAAATCTTTACTATCACTTCTTATTTTCCACTTCCGGCCAGAATTAAAAGCGTTAACTTATTTATGCAAAATTTGTCTGGCGAACGCCAAGTACTTAAGTTGTGGCTTTTTGCCAAGCGAGAGAGAGGAAGGAGTTAGTCGAAACAGGCCGCTTGCCTTAGAAGTTTTATTCAGTTGCTGTTTGCCTTCCAGGCCAGAGGTTTAATCCTCGTGATAATTTTTAAACGTATTGTAGTGTTTGTACAGTTCTCTGTACTACATACGGCTTCCTGTTAATATCCGGCCAAATCTTCCCACGTTTATTATTCCAAAATTTAAGTTAGAGTTTAGTTATATTTTTATATTCTTACGTTCAGACCACAAGTAGTGGTCTCTGTATTCCGAAGTACGGAAATTATTGTAAAGAGTGAAAAATAAAGGGTTTTGTATACCCTTTGTGTATCCTGTCTACTTCCCACATTTATTGAACTAGCTTTAGTAAGCCCTGTTCCGAGTCCTTGCATGTCCCAAAGGAAGTCCTAGAACTGATAGTGGCGCCCAGAAGAATTTCAAGCGAGTTTTGAAGCGCCCTCCCAATGCCCTGCCGCCCTGGAAGGCTTTGGTTCTCGTCCAGACCATGCGCGTTCGATGAAACAGAAGCAACATTTAATGGAAACTCACCGGTACCAGTTTTTTGGAAAATTGGATGCCTCTTCCCTGGCACCGTTTCCCCACGTTTTGAAAACTCCACCCCAGCCAGCTCAAAAAAGGGGCCAAACGCAACTTGGTTCAACTGTTCCGGCAGAAGTCTCTTGGGTCAAGCAGGAAAGTCCCACCTATACTTACGATATTCAAGCAACTGCCCCTAGTAAAAGCCTTCCCTGTCGTAAGGGATCGTGCGCGAAATTAGGAACTTTTCAGAAATTATCAGCAAAGAATCGACGAAATCTCCCTCAAACTTTATTTTAAGAAAAAATTCACGTCTTCAAACTCTTGTATGGAACCCTTCCGGATCCTGAGATAATTCAAGTGGTTTTGCCGAGGTTACTTCCCAAAGTGCAAGGACTTTATTGAATTAAGGAATCGACACTACACTGGAAAAATTATTGAGCTAGCAATCCAGTTGAAGTAGAAGAACGGGGACATTGAAAGAAGACGCCATATCAACAACACGAAACCATTTGGTGCGCCAAGACCACAGCAAAGTCAAGCACACGGCTACGGAAGCAAAGCGAATCAGTGGGCAAGGAAACCCGAGCATTCAAAACACCGCCCGGAACGTCGACAGTTCATAGCCCAATCCCGGGGAAGTCTCAAGGCCAGTGGAAAAACACAAGGAAAGCATGGAACGAAAAAAGGGATTTAAAACGGATTTCTGCGGGAGGGTGCGGAAATCCGAAGGCCCAAGAAAAACCACCCTTCTTCCAAGTTAAATACAGTAATGGTGAAAATTTGACTCTTCCGAAGATTGAAGTGTTGGTGAATAATATCCCAGCCCCACGCACTCCTGGATACAAGCGTGGAGTGTTCCTGTGTGGCAGAAGATTTTTTTAGGAGTATTTTCGGAAATACCGCATATATAATTCGGATAATACGACAGTGTTAGCGGCGCGCAAGGAGAAAGATGTAAGTGCATAGGTAAATTACCACTATAATCCGTATCAAGGAACGAACAAGTAAAGGTTGTTTTCTCTAGTAAAGAATCTGCAAGCACCTATTATCTTAGGAATAGATTTTCTTTCAGAGGCACAAGCAACGCTGGATTTAATGAAGCGTTCCTAAGCTGACGATGAAACCAAAGTTCGAGAAGAGGCTGAACCGCGATGTTCCCCCGATTTGCCCCCAAAATGCCTAATGAGAGCAACGAAGAATCGACAGTGGGGTAAGTGAATTGCTTCGTTATTAGTGATAT